CCCCAAAACCCCCAAAACCCCAAAACCCCGAAAACTAAATCTTTAATAGATTAAATCACAAATTATAAATAAATTTTGATTGAATTTTTAACTATATTAAAAAAACAAAAGAAATGTAATCAACTTCATACTCAATGATAACTAATAAGCCTAAAAAGAACACAATTAGTACTCCCAAATTTAGTGTGCTTTAATCTAAACTAGCTCTCCAGATTAAAGCAGCGGAGGCAAAGCATACATCACTGGACAGAGAAGAGTACGGAGATGGAGCGAATTTCCTATATAAGGTAGAAGGTGGTAAACTTGACATTGCCTGCAATAAGAGTGCAGTCAAGGAAAATAAGAAACGCAAGTAAAATATTGATCATTATGTCAGCAATATTGGTAAGGAGTCTGATGCTATTATAGAAGAAATCGAAGAGAAAATTAAGTAGCTGGATGAACTAGCAAATGATAACATTAAGATTGATTATGAAAAGGATGTTGAGGAGATCAAAATAAAAAAAATATTAGAGAAGGAACGAGCGTTATTCAATCATACTGGCGGATCTGAATTGAACACCCCAAAAAGTAATAATGACATTAAAGACTCTGATGAAATTCCAAGACTAAATATTCATCATACTGAGACTCCTTTTTTCGGGGATAAATCAATGTCAAAAAAGCGAACTTCAATGAATTATACACTGACCGCAAGTAATGCACTAAACCAATCAATAGCCAATAGCCCGAAGAACAACTACAACTCACCCTACGATATATCGCATAAGCCGTCGTTCAGCATAAGGAAGCACTCAATAAACTCTGGTATTGGTCAAAGCTACAACAGTTCTTTGATAAAAGACCCCTCAACCCTCAAATTCCCCAGTTTAATCAATCAAAGAAGAGCATATCAGGGCGGATCACCAACTAAAAGGAATAGAGTGAATTAGAGCTACAAAACTTAAACTTAATCTAATGGCCATGTTTCTAATATGCTTCATCCTTTCTCAGACCCAGCAGAGTAATCTCTAAAATAACTACACATGCCTGATATATCTTCTAAACTAAAAACAATATAGTAAACTCAAAGTGTCCCCATATCACCAAAAGCTAGTAATGTGAAAATAGATGATACTGGGAGTGACATTCATAAACTCTATAAAATGGAGAATTAGTTCGACTAGAGATTTACAGTTAAAGACTACTCCTTGGAATATATCAGAATGATCTCTTAAGAATCTGGATTAATGAAAGAGCTAATAGAGAATTTTTCGCCTTAATCATTTATGAAAGAACCTAGATTAAAGCGAGGAGATAGCTTAAAAAAATCACTTAACCCGGATTAATAGGTAGGTGAATTTTCTATAAAGGCATTTATGCTGTAAGATAGTCTGAGTCCTAAAAAAAGTTCTCCTAAAAACTTTCAAGATGTCATTACATCTATGACATAAAGTTAATAATCAAGACCAAAGTTTGATACCAAAAGATATAGTATTTCACTTCCTCAATCCCCAAAATTCTAAGATGATAGAAGTAAATTATCTAAAAAACTTCAAACACCAATGTATCATCATAACAATCAAAACTTGGCAACATTTAGTATCGAACCAAAAGATATGGTTGAAGATCAAAGTATAGTACACGAAGAGGAAGAGGAATCACCCCAAAAAGTACTAGAGAGTCAAGAGACATTTATCAGCCCACTCGAATTAGAGAATGCACCAGTCTTTAAAGACTATGAATAAAGCCGCACTAGGTATAATACAAATGTTATTAGTCAATAAAACAATCATTACTTCCAAGAAAACAAAAAGAACTGGGATTAAGAAATTTACTATGTTATAAAAGAGTATCAAAATAGCCTAAATGCAGTTGAGAAAAATGATGCCAGATTTTAACAGAATAAATAGTAAGACTCCAGGAAAAACTCTTAAAACATTCCACAAAACATCAACAGCATCAGATCATCGTCTAATACTGTGAATGAATCAATGAATAGTGCAGGGATTTTTACAAAGCAACATGACAATATAATGTAATTCTTAAAGAAAATGGAAAAACAGCATTTCCATAAGGAATTTATGAAGTATGAGAAAAAGTCTAATAACTTCAAATAGAACTCTGCTAGTATGAAAAATACTCGGGAATCCAGCATCAATAATGCAGGGAATTCCTTGGACCATAATTAAAGTCTAAATTTTGGAGACTAAAGTAACTTAGAAAAATAAGGAGGATAGAGACTAGCAGACATCAGAGAAAGAATTAAGAATTATGGTAAATGGTATATAAACCCAGATAAATTCAACAGAAACTTCGACATTATGAGATAGGTTATCACATCAAGATAAAAGCAAGAATAACTAGTCCAGAGAATACAAATGGTGAAGAAGTCTTCATTTAAAGAGATAGATATGAGTCAGATTTTAGATCCGCTAGGATAAAAGGACAGTTTAAACGTCAGTTTAAATGACTTTCAAGTGCCTATTGACCCAAGTGGACCAAGATCTACTAATAATTCATCAGTAAAGTAGGAAACTAATGGATTTTCAAATAATGCGAAGAGTAAAGATGGAAAGTCACAGCATGTCGAAATAAAGAAAAAGCATATTAGCAAATAGTAGGTGGAGATGGAGATCCTTAAAAATTTGGAATAGCTAGCAAGTTCACTCAAGCATCATAAAGAAGACTATGATGATGACTTTATCAACATGGATGGTTGAATCAAGCTAAATTAATAAATTGCATAATATACATTAATATTCAGAATAAGTATAACATATTGCATGGTAATTAGTCATTTAGATTACTTTTTTAATAGATTTCTATGCTTTATTTATAATTTATATCGCATGGGGTTTTGGGGTTTTGGGGTTTTGGGGTTTTGGGGTTTTGGGGTTTT